TTACCCATCCACCATCCCATGTCCCACCTGTCCACGTTCCATTTCAACTTTGCCCCATGTTTCTTAGCACGACGCGGCTGGAGCCGTTCGATGACGGCGGGCTGCACTTTAGTCCCAGCGGACAGCTGATTCGTCGCAGCAGCTTCAGCTCCACGGTGTCCAGCCAAAGCAGCTGCAGCGATCAGCCGGCAGTAGCAGCAGCAGCCGCCGCTGGGCTTGCCTCGCCGCCCACCACGCCCAGCAAGGCGAAGAGCAGCCCCCTTCTGCCCGTACTGAAGGAGTACGAGGCCATACCCGCTGTCGGTGCCTACTTCGAGGTGCGCGTAGCGCTCTCTGTGAATCCAGGTCACTTTGCAGTGAGTACTTGTCATCAGATCAACATGAGTCAATCCAGCTAATCTCGTTTCCTTTTGTTCTCCCTCTCTCACAGGTTCAGCCATACAAGTGGTATAATCAGCTGCAGCGCATGATGAAGGATCTGCAGGCGCATTGCAAGAGTCCAGCAGCGCAGACCGTGCTGCCGGCACAGCTGAGCATTGGTCAGCCCTATGCGGCGGCAGATGCCGACGGCGTCTATCATCGGTGAGCTGCTCGAAATGTGCTTAGCCAAGGGAAAATATATAATATTTATTTCTGTTTTCCTGCAGCGTAAATATACGAAAGATTTACGATGAAATGATACACGTGCGCTATGTGGACGCAGGTGACGATGGTATCGTGCGCTGCAATCAGCTGCTGCAGCTAACACCGGAGTTCAGGGAGTTGCCCATGATGGCGTTGCCAGCACAGCTGCATGGTGAGTGAAAAACAAAAATCCAAACAGTTGGCCAACTTTTCACTTAACTCCAATTTAACTTTTTAGGCATTCAACTGGCTGGCATCGACTGGACGCAGGAGAATTGTTTGCGATTTCGTAAGCTGACGTTGGGCCAGAAATTCATTGGCATTGTGAGACGCGTGGATAAGCTGAAGGATGAGCGGCGTGCGCTCAGCTTGGAGCTAATTGATACCTCAACGCCGCAGGACATTAAAGTGCACGAAACACTGATAAGCGAGAAACATGCGCTGCCTGCACCATAATACTATACCATAACGATCTTCCTCAATTAACGACTCATTTGTTTTGTTTACGTTTATTTGTTTAACCGATGTGTGGCCCACAGATGCATATAAACACATAAATACATATACATATATAACTATGAGAGCCAACATTCCGAAATTCTACCTAAGCATATGTATATCTACTATTATTATTATTATGTTACTGAGTTGTATTCAAACGCAAAGCGCAACAATAAATAAATTATGATATTTTGCTACCGAGAGAATGGATGCACTTGGTTGGCCGATTTGATGTTTGTCTTGACGGCCGAGGGCGCCTTGCCCAGCTGCTGTTGTACATTGCCCGGACTCATGGATGGGCCGCCCATGGGCGGAGTGGGTCCGCGTATGGACGGTGGCACCATCATGCCGGGACCAGGTCCTGGCCCATAGTTGGCCTTGTATTGCAGTCCCTTGCCCATGCCCACAGTTGCCACGAGCAGCTGGGTGTCTGTCATGCTGCTTGTCTGCTGGATGCCCGTGCGTGAACTGGACTCAATTTCCCATTCCTCGCGAGCTTTGCTCACCATATCCAGAACGTGGGACACCACCTTATTGTACTGAGTTACTTGTTTCATGGCCGCTTCGTTGGTTAGATTGGCCGCCTTCTGTTCATTTTGCTGCATTTTCTGCTCCGTAATGGGATCGGGCCGTGTGCGCAGATAATCCGGTACAATATCATGCGAAAAGACTGGCACACGGCCTTCGGTGATGTTAACCAGCGTTTCGTCGCGATCCATTGAGACGAGCAGCGGCAGCACTGTTCGATTTCGAAGCGGTGGACACTGCTCCTTGGCCAGAATCTTAGTCAGACCAGTCAGATGACTTGATATGATGGCAAAGTTATCCAGGAAAGTTGGCCAATTGATGTCCATGTACTCCATTTCCAGTTTTTGTATCATGGATAGCACTGCTAACTTTAAGTCGTTGAGACGCTGCAATATTGCGTCCAACGTCATTTCAAAGTGCTTCTCTTCGCGCTGCATTTTATTTGGATTTTGTTATTTATAAATTCTAGGCAACAATTTTATTGCTGCTCGAATCAGCAATCAGCGTTCGACAACTGTTTTTGATTGTATATCGATAAGTTGGTATTTAAATACTAAT